TTTTTTGCCTTTTTTCTTTTTTTGGTTACTGTTCCTGTGTGATTACATGGTGTGTTTTTTGTCCATTTGCTTCTACTTTTTTGATGGTTTTTCAATTGTTATTTTTGTCCAACTGAGTAGGAGACAGCAACAGTCCCCATATGACACAACTACACCCACACCTCCTGCAGCTGCACTTACTGAGTGAGGGCCACCACTTCCTTCTCCACCAACTGGCCAATGATAAACAACCACCAAGAAGAGCCTGACTCACTCTTGGCTGCTTTTCATAAACAGTTAACAGAGATCTAAATACACAGTGTGACATTGTATCAGAGACAACAGACTATCAGAGTCCACACAAAGAAGCAAGATAAAGTGTTAGAAACAAAGGAGCAGGATACAGACCCAGAATACATCGCTGAGGAAGAAGCAGCATTGGAACTCCCTAATAAGGAATTCAAAATAATTATATTTAGATATCTTCAAAGGATTGAGAGACAGATCAAGGAAAACACAGACAAAAACCTAGAAGAATTTTGGAAGAAAATACAAGAACAAAATGACAAAATAATGAAAATTTAGAAATGCTTCAAAATCTACAGATAGAAATCCAGACGATTAATACTGAATTGTCAGAAATAGATAACACATTGAAAGGGCAAAGGAGTAGAATTGATGCAATGGAAAACAGAATTAATGAGATTGAAGACAAATATCTGAATACTTCTTTGGAAAGGGATCAGTCAGAAAAGAGATCAAAATGAACCAGTGAACCCCAAACAGGATAGACCCCAAAAGAAAATCACTAAGACATATTATCATCAAACTCATCAAAACCAAAGACAAAGAAAGAATCCTGAAAGCAGCATGGGAAAAACAAAAAGTTATTTACAAAAGAGAACCAGTAAGAAGAAGCTCTGATTTCTCAGCAGAAACCATGCAAGTGAGAAGTATGAATGTACGAAGTATGAATCTAGGAAAATTGGAAGTTGTCAAAAAGGAAATGGAACGCATAAAGATTGATATCCTTGGCATTAGTGAGGTGAAATGGACTGGTTTTGGCCATTTTGAATCAGACAACCATATGATCTACTATGCCGGGAATGACAGTTTGAAAAGGAAT